AAAAGTTGTGATTTTTCAAATGGAATGGCTCAAACTTTATTGCATATTTAGATAAACCAATGCAAAAGAAGAAAACTGATATGACATACTATGGCGTTTTTTGAATTAGCTGCTAAGGTATATGGTGTTTTGTCTAGAAACACCCCCCACTTCGGCAACCCCTCAGTCCGCCATTTTAAAATTTGTAGTGCTGAATTTGTATAAAAAAAACTTACACACCTCAGCTTCTATGTTATTTGTTCCTTTTCGAATTTTAATTTTTCCTCATACAGGGTGGTCAAAAACGCAGATTGTAGTTCTTCTCAAAAGTTTCAAATGCATCACCCTGTATATTTGTGTAAGTTTGGATTCAATTGTTTATAAGCTGTTTTAATACTAGGCACATAAGGGTTTTTGCGGCTATTTTTTCTGTTATTAGCATGTCTTTTATGGAACGGCTTAACTCCCTAAAATGTCGCATCATCCTTGGAAACAGATAAATTGTTCTGTCCAAAGGATTATTCACAAGCTATCTATATCACCATGCTTGCATCAAGGCCTCCATTCTCACGATTTCGCAGCTCGAATGGAGTTTAGTAGAATAATGCTAAATAAAGTGAGTGAAGACACTACTTTTCTGGATAAGGTTCTTTTTAGCGATGAGGCAACTTTTAACAGCATAGGTGTTGTCAACAGGCATAACATGCACTATTATGCGACGCAAAACCCTTACTGAGTTAGGAAAAAAGATTTCACAAATAAATGGAGCTTGAATGTTTGGGGAGGAGTTATTGGCAGACAAGTTTTCGGGCCTTTCTTTTTCGACAACAGAATAACAGGTAGAGAATACTTGAATTTTTGATCGAGCATTTGTCTTTGCTTTTGGAGGATGTCATGACGACGAACCTATGCATTATTATAATCGTGGGCGTAACTATTTGGACACCTGGAGTAACAATCGTTGGATCGGTAGTGATGGGCCTATATCTTGGCCTCCTGGATCACCAGATACGACACCGGTCGACTTCTTTCTATGGAGCTACGCTAAGCAAGAGGTTTATAGATATCGACCGTCTACCGCGGAAAATATAAAGGAATGGATTACGGATGCTTTCCTGAACATAAGGGAACACATCATGCTGAGGCATGTGCAACGGTCATTTATCCAAAGACTACGGCTGTGTATTCAACATGGTGGCGATATTTTCGAGTAGTTTCTGTATATTATGTCTTGAGTAGTGATAGTTGTTTGTTTATGTTGTTGCCATAGTTGTTTTTCTCTATTACGCTTGAAGCTGATTTATACTGTTCTGATTGTTATTAGTTTTTACGTCAAAGTAAAAAAAAAAGTACAATTCGCGTTTTTTACCACCCTGTATGAGCAAAAACGAAAATTCGAAAAAGTAACAAATAAGATAAACGCTGAGGTGTGTAAGTTTTTTTTTGATACAAAATTCAGCACTCTAAATTTCAAAATGGCGGATTGAGGGGTTATCGAAGTGGCCGTTTTTTCTGGACAAAACACCTTACATCTCAGTAGCCAATTACCAAAACCTCATAGTATATCAGTCTTCTTCTTTTAAATTGGTTTATCCAAATATGCAATAAAAATTGAGGCATTCCACTTAAAAAATCAAAACTTTGATATGTAGGTCAAAATTGGGACACTCTGTATGATTGACAATATTTTATAAATGTGCCGTCAAACGTCGTGTATAACATGCAATAAGCAGATTTTCCAAAAATGTATTTGTTTATGAGTAGTACTTCGTCCGCACATGGATGAGCCACCCTGTATATATATTTTTGTCAAAAATGCACTTTTTGTGTACTTTTACTGCATTCCTGCGCGACTTGTTAACAAATAATAGCATTTTCAGCAAATATTTTTTGCTTTCCTTCTAAACTTAATTCGCTGCAAAACGAGTTTTCAAGAGAAGCAAAGATTGTTTGGAGAAACAAAAATGATAAGAAAGTACTAATTATCCGCTCAATTAAACTATAAAACTAAATATTCACATAAAATTTCAGAACTGTACTATGATTCATTAAATTTGAGGAAAAATACATTTTGTAACAAAAACGTGTCAGTGTTATTTTTGGTCTCTATACACACCATGATATAATCGTATGAAAGGTATTAAGACGCCTTCAAACAGGCAGTTGAAAAAAAAGGGATATGCGACCTTAACATTCAAAATACTTGCGAACTAAATCTGTACCTATAGATTGAGCAAGCTGAGGCAACCTTTTCTCATACAACATACAATAACAAATGAGTCCCAATGCGGCCAAGAGACAGGAACACCGGCATTTATACGTAGCTCAGATGTTCCACTTTGAGTTGGAAGAGGTGAAAGCAATAAAACAGTACACTGAGAAAAAAAATAATTCAGCAAATTAAACTTTAATTAGTCCAATTAAATAGTTTCGTTAACTATGTGACAGCAAACAATTTTAATTAGTATAATCAAACTCCGATTTCTAAAACAGCTTACCTGAATGTATGAAACTAGTTTAATTAAACCAAAACGCAATTGTTTGAAGAAGTTAATTCAATCATTTACTTACATTGAGTACACCGATTTACTTAAAGTTGATCGATTTAATTAAAATCTGTTTACCCGCGCCAAGTAAAAAATAATTATATTTATATATATATATATATATATATATATATATATATATATATATATATTTATATATATATATATATATATTTATATATATATATATATATATATATATATATATTGTACTGAAGAGATGTGCAGCGGAGCTTGCTCCAGTTCTTTCGCGTCTCTTCCAGATATCTTATGAATCCGGCACCTTCCCTGAAAACTGGAAATTTGTTCATGTACAGCCCATCCCAAAAAAAGGATCTAAAACCGACCCTTACAACTACAGGCCTATAGCTCTGCTTTCTGTTATAAGTAAAGTGATGGAGAGGTGCATAAATCGCGAGCTTCTAGACTACCTCGAACGTCACAGCTTGATTAGCGACAGGCAGTACGGTTTCCGGCACCAACGATCCACAGGGGACCTCCTAGCTTACGTCACGCAGCTGTGGAGTAGACTCATCCAGTCTCATGGTGAGGCTAATGTCGTTGCTCTTGACATCACGAAAGCGTTCGATCAGCTGTGGCACGCTGCCCTCTTAAGCAAACTTCCATCCTACGGCCTCCCAGAAAAGCTTTGCAGATGGGTGGCTGACTTTATCTCTGGCCGCAAGATATCCGTCGTAATTGACGGATTCTCCTCTTCATCCCACAACGTCAACGCGGGTGTTCCCCAGGGATCGGTCTTGGCTCCAACACTGTTTCTCTTACATATCAACGACCTCCTTTCCTGCACGATCAACCCAATTCCACAGCTTCGCTGATGACAGCACTCTACATGCAGGAATTCAGAGTGACAAGCCGATGTCTGCCGCTGAGCTGGAAAAAAGAAGACTAGCGACGACTTCTTCTCTGACAAGAGACCTTGAAGCTATCACTGCTTCGGGACGCAACAATCTTGTACAGTTCAATGCTTCCAAGACACAGTACTGTACTTTGACGAACAAAAAGCGTCCTAGCGCTCATACAGTTTCGATGGACGGTCGAGTTCTACCAAAGAGCCATTCATTTCGGCTGGTCGGAGTCCAGATCACCGAGGAACTGATCTGGCACGAACACATCTCTTCAATAGCTGCAGCTGCTGGGAAAAAGCTAGGCTATTTGTTTAGGGCTAAGAAGTACTTTTCTCCGCATGACCTTCTCACTCTATACAAGGCCCAGATAAGGCCTAGCCTCGAGTATTGCTCACACATTTGGGGTGCTGCCGCCCCCGACTACATTGTCCATGCTCGATGCTGTCCAGAGGAGGGCGGTCCGACTGATCGATGACTCTTCTCTAACAGACAGTCTCGGACTCTTTCGCACCGGCAGGCCGTCGGCGATCTAGCTCTTTTCTATCGCTACACCAACGGGCTTTGTTCCTCAGAGCTCTCTTCCATGATGCCGCCGCGCGATGTGCCTGCCAGACAGACCCGCCTGACTTCGGCGTCCCATCCTAACCGTGTCAAACTTCGTACATCCAGAACTGGCCGATACGACCGCTCCTTTGTTCCGAGGGTGTCTAGATTGTGGAACAATCTACGGGAGGAAGCTTTTCCCAGTTCTACTAACCTTAGGCAGTTCAAAAATCGTATTAACAAAATTTCTTTGGGATCATCATAGAGGCCGCGGTGTTCCGGCATTTAGGCTTTGGCCTGCGCGGCTGTTTCGATATAAAAAAAAAAAAATTAAATATGTTTAACTGTTGTAAACGTATTTGCCTAGCTTTAGTAAATTATTTAATTTAGATTCAAGAGTGGCGTGCACCAACCAAGAGAATCTAAAACCAAATAAGTATGTTGCTGGAAGTATATGGAATTAGTGACCACAGTAGCTATGTATGAGAATATAGTAGAACTATGTATAGTTGTAGTCACCGTTATTGGCGGTTGAGTCATCAACGCCATATAAAATAAGTAAACAGATCGAATCCCCCTACCATGGTCACAGACTAATCTTCAACGCATCTGCTATTATCTCCAGTACGCATGAAGTGGGTAACAGGGGACCGTTGTTTTTATTCTCTTCCTGGAAATACTCATTGATCGTATTTCCAGGCATTGCACAAGTTTATATTGAAGATTGATAACAGGACAACTCATGCTGCATGCTAATGTCAAGTTAGTTGTCACACTAATACATATGATTGAAGGGCACTCATACGTAACGACAAACTTTTCGAGACGAAGACACACAACCAAAAGATGTATGTCTTTGAGCTTACCGAACAAACGTTCACACACGGGGGTAGGTTTTTTTTATACTCCAACTACCACGAAGGCCTAAGCACCCATTGGGTACCGTGGGCCTATAGGGGGTTACATGGGAAAGGGGGGAACGCCACACGGACTCTGGCGAACACGTGTGCATGCAACATGCAACGAGATTTGCCGGGTGGTACCTCCGCGTTCGACAGTCAGAGACCGTCTACCACCTGCGGACAATCACAACATCCATAGCCAAGTGAAAAATTTCTCCTGGGACGGGACTCGAACACGCACAGCGCACGGCGACTGATCAGGAGACCGAAGAGTCTACTACTGCGGCCACCGCTGCTGCGTGTGTACAAATGAGGAGATTGAGTTATACCGGGTGTAAACGTTATGGTATTCATTATTGAAATGGCTAATGGGGGGGTCAAAACAAGTCAAAAGGTTCATATGAACCATGGTCCAAAAGTCAATAGATTTTTGTCTAAATGGCTTTATGGTTTATTTATTTATTTTTTATTTATTTAATTACACCACCAACAGTTTATAAACCAATTACTGGTGGGAAATACCGTACATATATACGTATATATAATAATCACAAAATAAACTAATAGCATTGATTGCTTTGTAATTACCAATAAGAACCCATGAAAAGCTACAACTGATCATAGCTCAATCAAACTGTGGTAGCTCTAAAAAAAAATACCGCTTTACATACTCTCTTAATAATAAAAATGGATGTGTTGAAGATATCAAAATAATTCATATAGTCATTATAAGATGAGCATATCGAATATAGCGGTGAGTGCAGCAGTAGATTTGTTCATGGGGTAGGTAGGTAAAAGGCAAGGTTGGCCCTTGTTCGTACTCTGGGTGTATTGAAATTTAGCATAGACAAAAATTATGGACAGTCATGTTGGTAATTTATAACTTTAAACAAAAAGACTGAAGATTGTATCTTCCTTCTATCATCAAGGCTGAGAAACCTATGCTTTTGAAGTAAGTTATTTTGTGAAATCCCTATGGGAGGATAAACACCATCAGTTTTGAGAGATAAATACTTCAAGAACTTCCTCTGAATTTTTTCCAATGAGTCACATGAGGTAACATAGCATGGGTTCCAGATTATTCTTCCGTATTCCAGCTTAGAAAGGACAAACGAATTATACAGCACTGTAGGTGCTGTGGTACCGATAAACTCTCTTGAATTGCGTATAACGAATCCCAGTGCTTTATTAGCAGAATTCATTAAATTAGTGAGGTGTGCACTGAAGCTCAATGTCCTGTCAAATATTACTCCTAGGTCCCTGAACTCCTCTAAAGTCTGAAGAGGAATGTTGTTAATTTTATAACTATTGGTAATTGAATTTACTCTCCTAGTGAAAGTTAAAGATTTACATTTGCTCACGTTGATAGGAAGTTTATTAGCAGTACACCACTCAGACAGTCTGTCAAGATTCCTTTGTAAATAAAAGCAACTAGATGGATCATCAATTTGCCAGTAGAGTTTTACGTCGTCCGCGTAGAGCAGAATATTGCAGTCAATCGTATTAACTAAGTCATTAATAAAAATGACGAATAGCAGTGGACCTAAGGAAGATCCTTGTGGGACGCCAGTAGATGGAAAAAAGTGAATTGATTTACCACCGTTAAAATCCACATATAGTTTGCGATCAGACAAATACGACTGAAATAATAATACCAAATTTTTGGATAAGCCAATGCTATTTAGTTTTCCCAGTAGTAAACAATGATCGACTCTATCAAACGCTTTACTGAAATCAGTATATAGCACATCAACCTGACCATTAGAATCTAAAACACCTGCTAGGAATTGAGTTAAACAGACTAAGTTTGTTGTTGTCGACCTTCCTTTTACAAATCCATGTTGTGCTGTAGAAATTGAAGAACTTACGTTGTATTGTATGAGATTATGTAATAACATTTCAAACGTTTTCGAAAAATTACTCACAATAGTGATAGGCCTATGGTTTTCAATTAATTTACGGTTTCCATTTTTATGGATAGGTCGAACCTTGGCTTCACGCCAAATCTCAGGAAATGTATGTGATCTGATACTTAGGTTATATATTTTAGTTAAAGGTGCAGCAAGAATAGGTGCACAATCACGGATTAAGAATGCAGGTATACCATCAGGTCCAGTAGTGAACTTGTTTTTCATTTTCTTTAATGCCATAAGAACCTCCTTTTCTGTGAAGCTATTCAGCACAATATTGTTTGTAGCAATAATATCATCATCTGGCCTAGCTGCTACATTGGGGGTAGAATAGACAGACTGGAAAAAATTAGCGAAGGCATTTGCTATATCAAGAGGGTTATTGAAAACACAATCATTGTGAGTGAATTCAGAAGGTGAAAGGCCTTTTACTTTTGATGAAGGACCAAAACTGATTAGGATCTTTTTTTATGCAATTTTCAGTCTGCTCTATGTACTTTTTATACGCATGACTAACGTCTCTTTTAATTTTGGTTCTTAATTCTTTAAATGTATCATAGACAGTCACATCTTGACGTTTTTTGTATAATTTATGTAGTGAATTCTTTTGTTTAATATCCTTGATGATTGCACGAGTGTACCAGGGTGGAAATTTGCCAGGCGTACGCTTAGTTTTCGGAATACACATGTTGAAAATATTTATTAGGTTATTGTAGAATAGAGTGCAAGCAATATTGACATCCGCAATATCCTCAAGAAATGACCAGTCCATAAGTGTCAATTGTTCATACAGTGTAACAAAATCAGCTTTGCGAAAATTGAAGGTAACATCATTTGATTGTGACCAGGTTTTGCTACGATAGTTTCTGTGTAATGTAATACAAAGTGGAGGATGATGTGAGTCTTCAGGCAATAGGTCATCGTATGCTCTAGTCACCAAGCATGATTTGTTGGAGAACACTAGATCAAGCAATCTATTGTTAATATTAAGAATTTGATTGTATTGTAAGAAATCAAAATATGCTGTAAAGGAGTCAACTACATTCAATTTGCGTGACGGTGAGATATTCTGTATACAAAACTCTGGAATGTTGAAATCCCCAAGAAAATAAACATCATTACCAGAGAGGTATGTCAAAGATTCTAGATGCTCAAATAAGCGCTCATAACATGCAGCGCTAGTATTGGGTGGTATGTAGACCACAAATATGTATGTGGTTTTATATTGAATGGTAAACTGAACGCCTACTAGATCTATGCAGGGAATATCACTCTTAATAGCAGTTGTATCAATTTCAGATGAATTCAACCAGTCTTTCGTGGCAATTAGAGCCCCACCTCCTCTTGTACATTCTAGGTTAACTAAGTCTCTATCAGATCTAAAAACACAGTACTGGACTGTAAATAGCTCTGCATGAGTACCCCTGATTGCAGCCAAGTTTCAGTACAGCAAATGATGTCATAATCAGATATTGTTACATTGAGAAGGAAATCTTGACATTTGGAGTTTAATCCCCGAACGTTCTGGTAATATACAGAAAGAGTTTTTTTAACAGGACATGAGGAATGTGCTGTGCGAGAGTTATGATATTCATTGCTATATAATTCACCGGGTAGTTCGCAATCAGGAAAAAATCAACCTGGATTTAAACTCTTCAATCCGCTGTAAATTGAAGAAATAAAAGTTTACAACTTTAAGTACTTTATATCGACCACGATCACCACAATCTTACTAATTTTTATAATCTAATCTACAACGTTTTTAAGTTGGGTAATTAACACACATGACAACAGCGCGTCGGTCTTTCATCACTCTTGTCGAACCGGCAATCGACCGCAAACGGTAACAGTGGTTAGTTATCCTTTTGCATAGTTTTGCGGCGTTGTCAGATTTATTTTACTTTAAAGTCGTTTTTCTCTAAAAATATGCCGTTTTGACCCCCATGTTATATGAAACTTTTTGCTCCTTTTAACCCCCTCTATCACCCATTTGAATAATGACTATCATAACGTTTACACCCTGTATAAAGGGATACTGGTACAGTTGTAGTAATCGTTCTTGGCGGTTACGTCATAAACGCCATATGAGTACCGCAAGGTTTAAACCTAGGTCCCTTGCTGTTTTTATTCATAAATAACCTAGCCGCGTCACTAAAGTTTGAATCTCTACTATTTGCTGATGGTCTGAAAATTTACACCAAAATTACAAATTTGGAGAGCTGTATTTCCCTTCAGGACGATCTGCGCCACACACACAGTGGAGTGACAATAATATTATCTTCTTGAATATTTCCAAATGCAAAGTGTGTTCATATTGTCGTAAAATGAACCCGATTATGATTGATTACTCCACAAATAATGCGGTTTTGGAGAGAACAATAGAGACTAAAGATCTTGGTGTAATACTTTCCTGTAGATTGGACTTTTCTGTCCATGTAGCACGTGTCACTTCTGAAGCGACACGGATTCTGGGTTTCATAGGTACATCAGCTTAGTTTGTACTACTTTCAGAAGAAATTTGACTAAAAGAATTTACTTAATAAGTAAATGCTTGTCTTCACTACGCCCATGGTTTGTTTATCATTTTGTTGTTGAAAATAGCTATTGGAGCGTTTTTTTGTGGCAAAAAAGTTATTTCTTGAAGAAGGATAAGGAAATATCTCGTACCTATTTTAAATAGGAATTTAGTACATACTTTGCGATTGATTTGACCAAGCCTTGTTGCTAAAATAACTTGTAACGCTGTATTACATAAATTAACCATGGTATATTCCACAGCAGAAAGAGTTAAAATTATCGAAATATTTTTCGGAAATAATCAGTGCGCTAATAGAACAGCAGAAATATTTAATGAGCGACATGAGAGCAGTAACGTGCATCGAAAATATGTTCTAGAACTTGTAGCTAAATTTCTGGAAACTGGGTCAGTCGCCAATAAAAAACGCAACACTGAAAATCCCATAAGGAACGAAGCAATAGAAGTGGGGATTTAAGTTTATGTAGATCTGACTGTGTATGGTGTTAGTCGACGTACTGTCCATCGGATTCTAAAGGCCCATAGTTTTCATCCGTATAAAATTCACCTTGTACAAGAACTTAGTGAAGACGATTTTGATCGGCGATTACAATTTTGTGAAGATACGAGTGAACGAATTATAAACGATGAACATTTTCTATTCAACACTTACTTCTCCGACGAATGCTCCTTTTTCTTAAATGGCGTAGTAAATCGTCATAACTGCCGATATTGGTCCGATTCTAATCCCAGAATTCATCACGAGGTTCATACACAGCAGCCACAAAAATTAAATGTTTGGGCTGGTATTTTTGGCGATCATTTAGTTGGTAATTTGTTCTTACCTGGAAATTTGACCGGTGAAATGTATTTGGAGTTAGTGGAAGATGCCATAGATCCTGCATTAACAGCTATAATTGAAAATCAGAATGATTAGCGGTACATTGCGAATAGGTTGATGTTCCAACAGGATGATGCCCCACAACATTATGCATTACGTGTTCGATAATATT